CGTATATATCAAAAGCCCACCCATTATTTTTGGAGCTGATGTTTCGTCATCGTCAGACGATGATGTTGTCACCGCCTAGATCAAGGTAGTAAGTCTCCGAAGACATGCAGTATCTTACCGAATTTCTATAGCAAAGCCACACCCCTTACCGAGTTCACTTTACTGCTTTTGAATTCCCTTTTGATTTCGGAGGTGCGTGATTCATCGTCCGCGCCGCGCTTGACTGTTGTACTACTGCTAACAAATGTCGTGGATTCCTCTTCCGAAGAACTTGGCACTTCTGCAGAACTGCTTATTCCCTCTTCCAACTCCGTTGAACTTTCCAAGACGGCGTCCTCGGAAACGAGATTTGTTCCGTTGTTTGCTAGATCTTCTATGGTCTCGTCGCTGTCAACCACAGTCACCACGGCTATCGTAGTCGTCACCTCTGGTAATTGTGTTGTAGTACCATCACTCGTTGATGGGGAAATACTTGTGAAAAAAGATGGAACGATATCATTCCCGGTCAGTTTTGTAGTATCCGACAGTGGAATTTGAGTTGTTTCAAATCCTTTTGATCTTCTTGGTGGTTTGACTGTAGGAAGATTGCTGGGATACCAGTCCTCCGCCTGAAACGAAGGCGGAGGTTGCACTCCTGGTGGGCCGACTCCTGTAAACAAAAGATTTTTCTTACAATCTTGGAATGATTTGGATCCAAAAATCATATTGGTTCACCATGCTGATGACCAGCACGCGCTGAAGTTCATCAAAACGGTTCAATCGTCTAGTTCTACCAACGCGTACCCTTATCTGGCTATCCCAAGACGACCAACAAGTGATTTCAACTTAACTCTAGCATGAGACGGGAAAGAGTATTCGGAGAAATTACCATCAGCAAATGGAAATCATAATGAATACCATGTTTTCACAATTTCTCCTCTTGAACTCTTGAAGGGAAAATTGTGTTCAGCTTAGACTAAATGCTTCTGTTCTCCCCTTGAGAGCTATGCATTTCACTTGACAGCATCTATCAAGATAATTAGTTGGTGAGCTTTGGCAATCCCAGTTCTGTCAGAATTTT